TCTCAGTCAGAACTGTTCTAGTCAGTACCACAGCTCAGTCTCAGTTAGAACTGTTCAGTCAGTACCACAGCTCAGTCTCAGTCAGAACTGTTCAGTCAGTACCACAGCTCGGTCTCAGTCAGAACTGTTCCAGTCAGTACCACAGCTCAGTCTCAGTCAGAACTGTTCAGTCAGTACCACAGCTCGGTCTCAGTTAGAACTGTTCCAGTCAGTACCACAGCTCAGTCTCAGTCAGAACTGTTCAGTCAGTACCACAGCTCAGTCTCAGTCAGAACTGTTCCAGTCAGTACCACAGCTCAGTCTCAGTCAGAACTGTTCAGTCAGTACCACAGCTCAGTCTCAGTCAGAACTGTTCAGTCAGTACCACAGCTCAGTCTCAGTCAGAACTGTTCAGTCAGTACCACAGCTCAGTCTCAGTTAGAACTGTTCAGTCAGTACCACAGCTCAGTCTCAGTCAGAACTGTTCAGTCAGTACCACAGCTCAGTCTCAGTCAGAACTGTTCAGTCAGTACCACAGCTCAGTCTCAGTCAGAACTGTTCCAGTCAGTACCACAGCTCAGTCTCAGTTAGAACTGTTCAGTCAGTACCACAGCTCAGTCTCAGTCAGAACTGTTCAGTCAGTACCACAGCTCGGTCTCAGTCAGAACTGTTCAGTCAGTACCACAGCTCAGTCTCAGTCAGAACTGTTCAGTCAGTACCACAGCTCAGTCTCAGTCAGAACTGTTCAGTCAGTACCACAGCTCAGTCTCAGTCAGAACTGTTCAGTCAGTACCACAGCTCGGTCTCAGTCAGAACTGTTCAGTCAGTACCACAGCTCAGTCTCAGTCAGAACTGTTCCAGTCAGTACCACAGCTCAGTCTCAGTCAGAACTGTTCAGTCAGTACCACAGCTCAGTCTCAGTCAGAACTGTTCTAGTCAGTACCACAGCTCGGTCTCAGTCAGAACTGTTCCAGTCAGTACCACAGCTCAGTCTCAGTCAGAACTGTTCCAGTCAGTACCACAGCTCAGTCTCAGTCAGAACTGTTCAGTCAGTACCACAGCTTAGTCTCTTTTTCGATATTGACCTGCGTACTTTACATTATCCTCTTATTATACAGCTTGGCACAAACTAAACACACAAAATAAACGTCAGTCACTTCTATGAATGCCAAAAGGTTTTATAAACAATATAAACAATATGTTTACAGGATAAATAACCATAACCCAAAAACTACTGCCAAAAACAAAAAAACATTCTAATTTCCAGTCTTTTTATTTACCTCACAGAGGAGTTAGTTCAAGTGGGAACACGAGGTCAACTTTTTTAACTCATAAACTGCATAAATATGTTTAGTGCTCTCTACATGTCCTGGCCTGGTTTTTGACATTTTAGTCCAGATTAGATAAAATCTCACTTTTGAGCCTAAAAACGTCTGTGGCGCCCCCTATACCTTTTCAGTGGTACTACATTTGAATTTGGTCCTGGCCTCTCATTGGTCTGTAATACTGTGTGTGTCAGTTGGTGTGTGACGTCAGTTGGTGTGTGACGTCAGTTGGTGTGTGTGACGTCAGTTGGTGTGTGTGACGTCAGTTGGTGTGTGTGTGTCAGTTGGAGTGTGTGACGTCAGTTGGTGTGTGACGTCAGTTGGTGTGTGTGTGTCAGTTGGAGTGTGTGACGTCAGTTGGTGTGTGTGACGTCAGTTCGTGTGTGTGACGTCAGTTGGTGTGTGTGACGTCAGTTTGTGTGTGTGACGTCAGTTGGTGTGTGTGACGTCAGTTGGTGTGTGTGACGTCAGTTGGAGTGTGTGACGTCAGTTGGTGTGTGTGACGTCAGTTGGTGTGTGTGACGTCAGTTTGTGTGTGACGTCAGTTGGAGTGTGTGACGTCAGTTGGTGTGTGTGACGTCAGTTGGTGTGTGTGACGTCAGTTTGTGTGTGTGACGTCAGTTGGTGTGTGTGTCAGTTGGTGTGTGTGTCAGTTGGTGTGTGTGTCAGTTGGTGTGTGTGTCAGTTGGTGTGTGTGACGTCAGTTTGTGTGTGTGTCAGTTGGTGTGTGTGACGTCAGTTGGTGTGTGACGTCAGTTGGTGTGTGTGACGTCAGTTGGTGTGTGTGACGTCAGTTTGTGTGTGTGACGTCAGTTGGTGTGTGTGACGTCAGTTGGTGTGTGTGTGACGTCAGTTGGTGTGTGTGTGTCAGTTGGTGTGTGTGTGACGTCAGTTGGTGTGTGACGTCAGTTGGTGTGTGTGACGTCAGTTGGTGTGTGTGACGTCAGTTTGTGTGTGTGACGTCAGTTGGTGTGTGTGACGTCAGTTGGTGTGTGTGTGACGTCAGTTGGTGTGTGACGTCAGTTGGTGTGTGTGACGTCAGTTGGTGTGTGTGACGTCAGTTGGTGTGTGACGTCAGTTGGTGTGTGTGTGTCAGTTGGTGTGTGTGACGTCAGTTTGTGTGTGTGTCAGTTGGTGTGTGTGACGTCAGTTGGTGTGTGTGACGTCAGTTTGTGTGTGTGTGACGTCAGTTGGTGTGTGTGTCAGTTGGTGTGTGTGACGTCAGTTGGTGTGTGTGTGACGTCAGTTGGTGTGTGTGACGTCAGTTGGTGTGTGTGACGTCAGTTTGTGTGTGTGACGTCAGTTGGTGTGTGTGACGTCAGTTGGTGTGTGTGTGACGTCAGTTGGTGTGTGTGTGTCAGTTGGTGTGTGTGACGTCAGTTGGTGTGTGACGTCAGTTGGTGTGTGTGTGACGTCAGTTGGTGTGTGTGACGTCAGTTTGTGTGTGTGACGTCAGTTGGTGTGTGTGACGTCAGTTGGTGTGTGTGTGACGTCAGTTGGTGTGTGACGTCAGTTGGTGTGTGTGACGTCAGTTGGTGTGTGTGACGTCAGTTGGTGTGTGACGTCAGTTGGTGTGTGTGTGTCAGTTGGTGTGTGTGACGTCAGTTTGTGTGTGTGTCAGTTGGTGTGTGTGACGTCAGTTGGTGTGTGTGACGTCAGTTTGTGTGTGTGTGACGTCAGTTGGTGTGTGTGTGTCAGTTGGTGTGTGTGACGTCAGTTGGTGTGTGTGTCAGTTGGTGTGTGTGACGTCAGTTGGTGTGTGCGACGTCAGTTGGTGTGTGTGACGTCAGTTGGTGTGTGTGACGTCAGTTGGTGTGTGTGACGTCAGTTGGTGTGTGTGTCAGTTGGTGTGTGTGACGTCAGATGGTGTGTGTGACGTCAGTGGGTGTGTGTGACGTCAGTTCGTGTGTGTGACGTCAGTTGGTGTGTGTGATGTCAGTTGGTGTGTGTGACGTCAGTTGGTGTGTGTGACGTCAGTTGGTGTGTGTGTCAGTTGGTGTGTGTGACGTCAGTTGGTGTGTGATGTCAGTTGGTGTGTGTGTCAGTTGGTGTGTGTGTGTCAGTTGGTGTGTGTGTCAGTTGGTGTGTGTGACGTCAGTTGGTGTGTGTGTCAGTTGGTGTGTGTGTCAGTTGGTGTGTGTGTGTCAGTTGGTGTGTGTGACGTCAGTTGGTGTGTGTGTCAGTTGGTGTGTGTGTCAGTTGGTGTGTGTGTCAGTTGGTGTGTGTGTGTCAGTTGGTGTGTGTGTCAGTTGATGTGTGTGTCAGTTGGTGTGTGACGTCAGTTGGTGTGTGTGACGTCAGTTGGTGTGTGTGACGTCAGTTGGTGTGTGTGTGTCAGTTGGTGTGTGTGTCAGTTGGTGTGTGTGACGTCAGGGTGTGTGTGTCAGTTGGTGTGTGTGACATCAGTTGGTGTGTGTGACGTCAGTTGGTGTGTGTGACGTCAGTTGGTGTGTGTGTCAGTTGGTGTGTGTGTCAGTTGGTGTGTGTGATGTCAGTTGGTGTGTGTGTCAGTTGGTGTGTGTGTCAGTTGGTGTGTGTGACGTCAGTTGGTGTGTGTGTCAGTTGGTGTGTGTGTCAGTTGGTGTGTGTGACGTCAGTTGGTGTGTGTGTCAGTTGGTGTGTGTGTCAGTTGGTGTGTGTGTGTCAGTTGGTGTGTGTGACGTCAGTTGGTGTGTGTGACGTCAGTTGGTGTGTGTGTCAGTTGGTGTGTGTGTCAGTTGGTGTGTGTGTCAGTTGGTGTGTGTGTGTCAGTTGGTGTGTGTGTCAGTTGATGTGTGTGTCAGTTGGTGTGTGACGTCAGTTGGTGTGTGTGACGTCAGTTGGTGTGTGTGACGTCAGTTGGTGTGTGTGTCAGTTGGTGTGTGTGTCAGTTGGTGTGTGTGTCAGTTGGTGTGTGTGACGTCAGGGTGTGTGTGTCAGTTGGTGTGTGTGACATCAGTTGGTGTGTGTGACGTCAGTTGGTGTGTGTGACGTCAGTTGGTGTGTGTGTCAGTTGGTGTGTGTGTCAGTTGGTGTGTGTGATGTCAGTTGGTGTGTGTGTCAGTTGGTGTGTGTGTCAGTTGGTGTGTGTGACGTCAGTTGGTGTGTGTGTCAGTTGGTGTGTGTGTCAGTTGGTGTGTGTGACGTCAGTTGGTGTGTGTGTGTCAGTTGGTGTGTGTGATGTCAGTTGGTGTGTGTGATGTCAGTTGGTGTGTGTGTCAGTTGGTGTGTGTGTCAGTTGGTGTGTGTGTGTCAGTTGGTGTGTGTGACGTCAGTTGGTGTGTGTGTCAGTTGGTGTGTGTGACGTCAGTTGGTGTGTGTGTGTCAGTTGGTGTGTGTGTGTCAGTTGGTGTGTGTGTCAGTTGGTGTGTGTGTCAGTTGGTGTGTGTGTGTCAGTTGGTGTGTGTGTCAGTTGGTGTGTGTGTCAGTTGGTGTGTGTGTCAGTTGGTGTGTGTGTGTCAGTTGGTGTGTGTGTGACGTCAGTTGGTGTGTGTGTCAGTTGGTGTGTGTGTCAGTTGGTGTGTGTGTGTCAGTTGGTGTGTGTGTGTCAGTTGGTGTGTGTGTGTCAGTTGGTGTGTGTGTCAGTTGGTGTGTGTGTGTCAGTTGGTGTGTGTGTGTCAGTTGGTGTGTGTGTCAGTTGGTGTGTGTGTCAGTTGGTGTGTGTGTGTCAGTTGGTGTGTGTGTGTCAGTTGGTGTGTGTGTCAGTTGGTGTGTGTGTCAGTTGGTGTGTGTGTTGTCAGTTGGTGTGTGTGTGTCAGTTGGTGTGTGTGTGTCAGTTGGTGTGTGTGTCAGTTGGTGTGTGTGTCAGTTGGTGTGTGTGACAGTTGGTGTGTGTGACGTCTGTCTGAGTCAGTGATATAAAACCATCCAACCCTCACACACACACAGCAGCAGTTGGAGTATTCTGGCGACATCTAGTGGATTAAAATTAAATGACATGAGTTGAAGCCAGTGCTGCTGAGATAATTGTGTGTCTGAGGTTCAGTTGTGTAGCTCTACAATTATCTTAGTGTGTAAACAAAGGAATGAGACTTTCTGGTGTAAACTATTGCTTTAAGCAGCAATGACAATTGTCTGTTTTTTTTTTCTCGTGTGACTAGTGAGCTGTCAATCACAGCCCAGACCACGCCCACCTCTAAGCCCCCCTTCTTGGTCCTCGGGCAACGCCCTTTTTAGAGAACATTTTCAAATGTTCATGTGGGCGGAGTCGGGCTGGGCACAGGTGTTTAGTCGCAGTTTAGTTTTTAGCTGTGTATGAAGTTTACAGTCTCTGATATAAAGCCATGTTGTTCAATGGCGACAAAACGTGCCGTGTCACTGCTGTAGGAAATTCCACAGACTCTACCGTCTACCTTCTTTTCTACTCTAAACGCCGCGTTTTTAGACAAGTTTGTGTCCTCAGAGTCTCTGGTGCTAGCGGCGCCACAGTTGTGTTGAATGAGACACAGGTGAGGGGCCGAGGGGGAGCCACAGGAGGCGGAGTGAGTGCAGCACAGAGACGGCAAAGCTGCCAAAGTGAAATAGAGCCAGTATCTCGATAATGTGAAAAAGCTCATCGTAAAAGTTATTTTGGCGATATTTTCTCCTACGATAATTATCGCTCACCCCTACATCAGCGGTGAGTGCCCCAGATATAAACTCAACCTAAAACCATAATCAGATGCTCTGCAAATGTGTCCTAAAATGGTCTACTATTGTTAATAGTTACTTTCATGTTTACCGCGATCATTTTTTTGTCATGAAAACGAGAACAGATAATTCTGAAAACCTTTTTGTGTTGAGAATGTACTGTATATGTATAATGTATTCTCCCATTAACATTTAAATGTGTTGATTAATATTTGTGTTTTTGAGCGTGGCTAGCTCCGATAGCTTCTCTCGCTCAGACAGAAGTTGTGACGTAGCCCATTGACAAAGTGGCCGGAACTACTTGTGGAGTAATCTACACACCTGAATTAAAAGCAGAGAGTGCGTTGCTAAAGGGCAGCGGTCATTATTGTTTTGAGAGGTGCATTAAAGAAACAATGTCTGGAAGAACATTTTGAAATTACATTCTTCTGTGACTATGGTCTGGTAAATGTCTTCTTCTTCTGTGTCTATAGTCTGGTAAATGTCTTCTTCTTCTGTGACTATGGCCTGGTAAATGTCTTCTTCTTCTGTGACTATAGTCTGGTAAATGTCTTCTTCTTCTGTGTCTATAGTCTGGTAAATGTCTTCTTCTTCTGTGACCAGGTAAAGGCGACCGCTTTGAACGGTGTGTGTCTGAGGCCGAGCTGCTCCTGGATCAGTCTGTGAGTCTGGAGCAGGCGGGAGACGTGTCTGCAGCTCTGACCGCTGTCAACGAGGCCGTCTGTGAGTATGTGTGTGTGTGTGTGTGTGTGTGTGTGTGTGTGTGTGTGTGTGTGTGTGTGTGAGTGTGTGAGTGTGTGTGTGTGTGAGTGTGTGTGTGTGTGAGTGTGTGTGTGTGTGTGTTCATGTGTGTGTGTGTGTGTGTGTGTGTGTGTGTGTGTGTGCGTGTGTGCGTGTGTGTGTGTGTGAGTGTGTGTGTGTGTGAGTGTGTGTGTGTGTGTGTTCATGTGTGTGTGTGTGTGTGTGTGTGTGTGTCATAACCTCTCTGACAGCTCGACCACTATAAACAAACACAAATTAGCCTCATTGCTACACTAGCCTCACGGCTACATTAGCCTCACTGCTACATTAGCCTCACTGCTACATTAGCCTCACTGCTACATTAGCCTCACTGCTACATTAGCCTCACTGCTACATTAGCTGCAGGGATCAGAGAACAAAAAAGTAGCGGCTTCTTGTCCAGAGACGACATTCGTTTTGTTCAGTTCTCGGTTATTTTCCCATCTATGATTTGAACAGCTCATGATCCTCCTACACTGGTAAATCTGAGACATTCTGACTTAGAGCCAGATTCTCCAATGGGACAAAGACATTTAAACTTATTTCTAGAACTGTTTCTTGATTAACTCATTCCAAACGGGCGTTCAGACGCCGACGCTGGAACGCAGCTTCTGCGCGCACTGGACGCACATTCTCTAAATTTCAGAGGCAAGGGGTGTTCAGACCAGAGGTCCAGGGCTATGTGTTCACGGAGACTTTATATAACAGCAGTATGTGTTCACGGAGGTGACTTTATATAACAGCAGTATGTGTTCACGGAGGTGACTTTATATAACAGCAGTATGTGTTCACGGAGGTGACTTTATATAACAGCAGTATGTGTTCACGGAGGTGACTTTATATAACAGCAGTATGTGTTCACGGAGGTGACTTTATATAACAGCAGTATGTGTTCACGGAGGTGACTTTATATAACAGCAGTATGTGTTCACGGAGGTGACTTTATATAACAGCAGTATGTGTTCACGGAGGTGACTTTATATAACAGCAGTATGTGTTCACGGAGGTGACTTTATATAACAGCAGTATGTTCACGGAGGTGCGCCATAAGTTTGTTTTAATATTAGACGGTGCTTCCGCATCGGTGAACACACTAGCTGCGCTAGTTTACAGTCACTGGAGAATGACAACTGGAGGCATATGTTCACAAGCACAGAGTCCCCCATAGTCAACCCTGGTTTAGTCCTGGTTTAGTTCTGGTTTAGTCCTGGTTTAGTCCTGGTTTAGTCCTGGTGTTGCTCCTGTTTTGGCTGTTTACAGTATGTTCAGTCTGCTCGCTCAGACACTAATATCCCCGTGACCACTTTGCGGCTCTCTGATTGGTCGCTGCACGAGCGTCCCGAGGAAAGGTTGAGCAATATTTATCTCTTGCATGCGTCAACTTTCTGCTCTGACTTTGTGTCTCTACAGAGCAGTCAATGCGTCTCTACTGAACAGTCCGTGCGTCTCTACAGAGCAGTCAATGCGTCTCTACTGAACAGTCCGTGCGTCTCTACTGAACAGTCCGTGCGTCTCTACTGAGCAGTCTGTGCGTCTCTACTGAACAGTCCGTGCGTCTCTACTGAACAGTCTGTGCGTCTCTACTGAACAGTCCGTGCGTCTCTACAGAACAGTCTGTGCGTCTCTACTGAACAGTCTGTGCGTCTCTACTGAACAGTCCGTGCGTCTCTACTGAACAGTCCGAGCGTCTCTACTGAACAGTCTGTGCGTCTCTACTGAACAGTCCGTGCGTCTCTACAGAGCAGTCAATGCGTCTCTACTGAACAGTCCGTGCGTCTCTACTGAACAGTCTGTGCGTCTCTACTGAACAGTCTGTGCGTCTCTACTGAACAGTCCGTGCGTCTCTACTGAACAGTCTGTGCGTCTCTACTGAACAGTCCGTGCGTCTCTACTGAACAGTCTGTGCGTCTCTACTGAACAGTCTGTGCGTCTCTACTGAACAGTCTGTGCGTCTCTACTGAACAGTCCGTGCGTCTCTACTGAACAGTCCGTGCGTCTCTACTGAACAGTCTGTGCGTCTCTACAGAACAGTCCGAGCGTCTCTACTGAACAGTCTGTGCGTCTCTACTGAACAGTCTGTGCGTCTCTACTGAACAGTCCGTGCGTCTCTACTGAACAGTCCGTGCGTCTCTACTGAACAGTCTGTGCGTCTCTACTGAACAGTCCGTGCGTCTCTACTGAACAGTCTGTGCGTCTCTACTGAACAGTCCGTGCGTCTCTACAGAACAGTCTGTGCGTCTCTACTGAACAGTCTGTGCGTCTCTACTGAACAGTCCGTGCGTCTCTACTGAACAGTCCGAGCGTCTCTACTGAACAGTCTGTGCGTCTCTACTGAACAGTCCGTGCGTCTCTACAGAACAGTCCGTGCGTCTCTACTGAACAGTCCGTGCGTCTCTACAGAACAGTCTGTGCGTCTCTACTGAACAGTCTGTGCGTCTCTACTGAACAGTCCGTGCGTCTCTACTGAACAGTCTGTGCGTCTCTACTGAACAGTCCGTGCGTCTCTACTGAACAGTCTGTGCGTCTCTACTGAACAGTCTGTGCGTCTCTACTGAACAGTCTGTGCGTCTCTACTGAACAGTCAGTGCGTCTCTACTGAACAGTCTGTGCGTCTCTACTGAACAGTCTGTGCGTCTCTACTGAACAGTCCGTGCGTCTCTACTGAACAGTCCGTGCGTCTCTACTGAACAGTCTGTGCGTCTCTACTGAACAGTCCGTGCGTCTCTACAGAACAGTCTGTGCGTCTCTACTGAACAGTCTGTGCGTCTCTACTGAACAGTCCGTGCGTCTCTACTGAACAGTCCGTGCGTCTCTACTGAACAGTCTGTGCGTCTCTACAGAACAGTCTGTGCGTCTCTACTGAACAGTCTGTGCGTCTCTACTGAACAGTCTGTGCGTCTCTACTGAACAGTCTGTGCGTCTCTACTGAACAGTCCGTGCGTCTCTACTGAACAGTCTGTGCGTCTCTACTGAACAGTCTGTGCGTCTCTACAGAACAGTCCGTGCGTCTCTACTGAACAGTCCGTGCGTCTCTACAGAGCAGTCCGTGCGTCTCTACAGAGCAGTCCGTGCGTCTCTACAGAACAGTCTGTGCGTCTCTACTGAACAGTCTGTGCGTCTCTACTGAACAGTCTGTGCGTCTCTACTGAACAGTCTGTGCGTCTCTACTGAACAGTCCGTGCGTCTCTACTGAACAGTCTGTGCGTCTCTACAGAACAGTCCGTGCGTCTCTACTGAACAGTCTGTGCGTCTCTACAGAACAGTCCGTGCGTCTCTACTGAACAGTCTGTGCGTCTCTACTGAACAGTCCGTGCGTCTCTACTGAACAGTCTGTGCGTCTCTACTGAACAGTCTGTGCGTCTCTACAGAACAGTCCGTGCGTCTCTACTGAACAGTCCGTGCGTCTCTACAGAGCAGTCCGTGCGTCTCTACAGAGCAGTCCGTGCGTCTCTACAGAACAGTCCGTGCGTCTCTACTGAACAGTCTGTGCGTCTCTACTGAACAGTCCGTGCGTCTCTACTGAACAGTCTGTGCGTCTCTACTGAACAGTCCGTGCGTCTCTACAGAACAGTCTGTGCGTCTCTACTGAACAGTCCGTGCGTCTCTACAGAACAGTCCGTGCGTCTCTACTGAACAGTCCGTGCGTCTCTACTGAACAGTCTGTGCGTCTCTACTGAACAGTCCGTGCGTCTCTACAGAGCAGTCCGTGCGTCTCTACTGAACAGTCTGTGCGTCTCTACTGAACAGTCCGTGCGTCTCTACAGAACAGTCCGAGCGTCTCTACTGAACAGTCTGTGCGTCTCTACTGAACAGTCCGTGCATCTCTACAGAACAGTCTGTGTGTCTCTACAGAACAGTCCGAGCGTCTCTACTGAACAGTCCGTGCATCTCTACAGAGCAGTCCGAGCGTCTCTACTGAACAGTCCGAGCGTCTCTACTGAACAGTCCGTGCGTCTCTACTGAACAGTCCGTGTGTCTCTACAGAACAGTCCGTGCGTCTCTACTGAACAGTCCGTGCGTCTCTACTGAACAGTCCGTGTGTCTCTACAGAACAGTCCGTGCGTCTCTACTGAACAGTCCGTGCGTCTCTACAGAACAGTCCGTGCGTCTCTACTGAACAGTCCGTGCGTCTCTACTGAGCAGTCTGTGCGTCTCTACTGAACAGTCCGTGCGTCTACTGAACAGTCCGTGTGTCTCTACAGAACAGTCCGTGCGTCTCTACTGAACAGTCCGTGCGTCTCTACAGAACAGTCCGTGCGTCTCTACTGAACAGTCCGTGCGTCTCTACTGAACAGTCCGTGTGTCTCTACAGAACAGTCCGTGCGTCTCTACTGAACAGTCCGTGCGTCTCTACAGAGCAGTCCGTGTGTCTCTACAGAACAGTCCGTGCGTCTCTACTGAACAGTCCGTGCGTCTCTACAGAGCAGTCCGTGCGTCTCTACAGAACAGTCCGTGCGTCTCTACAGAGCCGTCCGTGCGTCTCTACAGAACAGTCCGAGCGTCTCTACTGAACAGTCCGTGCGTCTCTACTGAGCAGTCCGTGCGTCTCTACAGAACAGTCCGTGCGTCTCTACAGAACAGTCCGTGCGTCTCTACAGAGCAGTCAGCGTCTCTACCGCGCAGTCCGAGTGTGCGTCCTGAGATGCATGTGCAGTTCCACGCTCGAACGCGCGTCACCATTAACTTTGCATTGAAAGTCGCCGCAGCATGATCCGGTCTGAACGCGGCTTTAGGGAAACTGTATCTTTTTAAAACAAGATCATTTTGCTTTGTCCCATTGGAGAATCTGGTTTTCATCACTTTTTGCAGTGTGCTCCATTACCTTTTACGTTTTATTTCTTTATGTATTTGATGGTTTGTCCTTTATACTTTTGCATGTCCTCATGGCTCATTTCCTCATCCTTTTCCTTGGTTTATGCGGCGCAGCTAAAGTGCTGTGTGCAGCGGCCGAGTCTGGAGCCGCAGCTCACACTCGGCTGCAGCGCTGCATCAGGAGAGGCCGCAGCATTCAGCAGCGCCTCACACTGCAGCAGCGCCACCTGCAGGCAGGCGGCAGCAGCACACAGCCGCAGCAGCGCCACCTACAGGCAGGCGGCAGCAGCACACAGCAGCAGAGGCACAGGTACTGCTGTAGCAGGTCTCACACAAACACACAGAGTCTGGTGTGAACGGTTTGTGGCGGTCAGAGAATAATGACAGTGAAGAGTCCAAAAAAATAATGCATTATTATTAATATTGATTTTCAGCGACACACTGACTCTAAATCTTTAAACCCTCGCTTTAAGTGGATTAACAGAAATTTTCATAACTGCTAATTAGAAAGAGGTGGAATAGAGTCACTATTAACTCATAAACTCATGAAGACAAAGGTGGAAAAATCCACCTGATTCCTGTTTGAACACAATCACATCTGTAGAAAGGGGTTTTAGAGGGTTCTATCTACATGTTGTTCAATGCTAACGTTCTGTGACATAAACAAAACTCTCCATGAACAGACCAAGTGCTGCCATCACTTCACAAAACCTTAGTAAAAGAAGAGACGGGCTTTAAGTGAAGTGTCTTTTAGCAAAGTCCAATCAAACTAGTCATGGTCTGCCCCCTGCTGGATGTATGATGTAATTACATCAGAGGCAGTCTCCAGGTACCACCAGCCTAACCCTGAAGGACTTTTAAAATGTTGTAAACACCGTGACTGTCTTCTGACCTGCGTGATCTGACTTCAATCACTGAAACAAACTGATGTAAATATGTCCTGCAGAAGTCGGTGAAAGGCGTTCAGAGAAATGTGAGCGAGTAGAACGTGTTCAGGACGAGGCTGTTTCCTCTGCATCAGTTTGAAGCCTGTGGGCGACCTGTCAACAGGAAGTGATGTCACATGTGACCATCTGCTCCTGACACACTGCTCTGTGTCCATATGATATAATAGATCCATGTATATGACACATATATGGAAATAATATATATATATATATGTATATATATATATATATATATATATATATATATATAAATAATGTACATATATAATTTATAAGAACACAGAAGGAGTCTCTCTCTCTCCTCAGACTCAGACTCTGACCCGGTCTTATCTCGGTCTTGTCTCTCCTGCAGTGAAAAGTCTGTCCCGGTCCAAGTACTTCTGACAGAAGGACAGAGTGAGGAGCCAATCATCAACCTCGATAATCTGGATCCATCTCCATCTCCACATGATCCACCTGCTGTCGCTGCTGAAGCGTGCCCCCCCAGGCCCCCCCCAGAGGAGAGGAAGCCTGCAGCGTATTACCCCCGCTTTGGGAAACCTCTCAGTAACAGCCGCTCCCTCCCTGCTCTGTGCAAGGACCAGAGTGAGCAGGAGGAGGATCAGTGTGTCCCCCTCTGGGCTCGCTCCACTCCTCTGTCCTCGTCCCACTCTGAGACTCCTGTTTATACCAAAGGCACAGAGCAGCATCAATCACTACATACTCTCTCCCTGTCAGACCCTCTCCCCAACCCTCTCACCAACCCTCTCACCAACCCAACCAGGAACTGGTCCTGTCTGCAGCTAAACATGGAAGACCACCTGAAACCCCCTGTCAGCTCTCTGCCCTCCCCCTCCCTCACTCAGCCCTCCCCCTCCCTCACTCTGCCCTCCCCCTCCCTCACTCAGGCCTCCCCTTCCCTCACTCTGCCCTCCCCCTCCCTCACTCAGGCCTCTCCCTCCCTCACTCTGCCCTCCCCCCCCTCCCTCACTCAGGCCTCTCCCTCCCTCACTCTGCCCTCCCCCTCCCTCACTCAGGCCTCCCCCTCCCTCACTCTGCCCTCCCCCTCCCTCACTCAGGCCTCCCCTTCCCTCACTCTGCCCTCCCCCTCCCTCACTCAGGCCTCTCCCTCCCTCACTCTGCCCTCCCCCTCCCTCACTCAGGCCTCCCCCTCCCTCACTCTGCCCTCCCCCCTCCCTCACTCAGGCCTCTCCCTCCCTCACTCTGCCCTCCCCCTCCCTCACTCAGGCCTCCCCCTCCCTCACTCTGCCCTCCCCCTCCCTCACTCTGCCCTCCCCCTCCCTCACCCTGCCCTCCCCCTCCCTCACTCTGCCCTCCCCCTCCCTCACCCTGCCCTCCCCCTCCCTCCTCTGCCCTCCCCCCCCTCCCCTGCCCTCCCCCTCCCTCACTCTGCCCGTGGAGCGCTGGGCCCAGAATGTGAACAGATATTATAGCACGAGCTCAGCCCCAGAAAAGGAGGAGCAGGAGGAGCAGGAGTTGTCGGAGCTGGACTGTCTGTACCAGGCCAGTCTGAGGGCCCCTCAGCAGGCCCCTCAGCAGGCCCCTCAGAAGGCCCCCAGCAGGACAGGTACTGCTATGTGCTGTGTCTGTACCCTGTGTTCTCTGTTCTCTCTCTGTGCTCTCTCTCTGTGCTCTCTCTCTGTGCTCTCTCTCTGTGCTCTCTCTCTGTGTTCTGACTCTGTGCTCTCTCTCTGTGCTCTCTCTCTGTGCTCTCTCTCTGTGCTCTCTCTCTGTGTTCTGACTCTGTGCTCTCTCTCTGTGCTCTCTCTCTGTGTTCTGACTCTGTGCTTTCTCTCTGTAGCCATAAGAAGGTCTCTCTCAGGATCAGGACGCTCCAAAACTCCCACTGCAGAGATGGAGAAACATGCTTACAGAAGTCCCTCTGTACTCAAGGTACTCACATCTGTACTCTGTTACTCACATCTGTACTCTGTTACTCACATCTGTACTCTGTTACTCACATCTGTTACTCACATCTGTACTCTGTTACTCACATCTGTACTCTGTTACTCACATCTGTACTCTGTTACTCACATCTGTACTCTGTTACTCACATCTGTTACTCACATCTGTACTCTGTTACTCACATCTGTACTCTGTTACTCACATCTGTACTCTGTTAATCACATCTGTACTCTGTTACTCACATCTGTACTCTGTTACTCACATCTGTACTCTGTTACTCACATCTGTTACTCACATCTGTACTCTGTTACTCACATCTGTACTCTGTTACTCACATCTGTTACTCACATCTGTTACTCACATCTGTACTCTGTTACTCACATCTGTTACTCACATCTGTACTCTGTTACTCACATCTGTACTCTGTTACTCACATCTGTACTCTGTTACTCACATCTGTTACTCACATCTGTACTGTTACTCACATCTATACTCTGTTACTCACATCTGTTACTCACATCTGTACTCTGTTACTCACATCTGTTACTCACATCTGTGCTGTTACTCACATCTATACTCTGTTACTCACATCTGTTACTCACATCTGTACTCTGTTACTCACATCTGTTACTCACATCTGTACTGTTACTCACATCTATACTCTGTTACTCACATCTGTTACTCACATCTGTACTCTGTTACTCACATCTATACTCACATCTGTACTCTGTTAATCACATCTGTACTGTTACTCACATCTGTACTCTGTTACTCACATCTGTACTCTGTTACTTACATCTGTACTCTGTTACTCACATCTGTACTCTGTTACTCACTTCTGTACTCTGTTACTCACATCTGTACTTTGTTACTCACATCTGTACTCTGTTACTCACATCTGTACTCTGTTACTCACATCTGTTACTCACATCTGTACTCTGTTACTCACATCTGTACTCTGTTACTCACATCTGTTACTCACATCTGTTACTCACATCTGTTACTCACATCTATACTCTGTTACTCACATCTGTTACTCACATCTGTACTCTGTTACTCACATCTGTTACTCACATCTGTACTCTGTTACTCACATCTGTTACTCACATCTGTTACTCACATCTATACTCTGTTACTCACATCTGTACTCTGTTACTCTGTTAGCTCTCTGCTCCTGTTGGACCCATGTCTCTGTGTTTGTCTGATTCTCTGATCTGTGTCGGAGAATCTACAGTTTTTGTAAATTCCTCAGAGATAAATACTGTTGTGGTTTAGGTCGATACAAAAATAGTTTGAATTGAACTTCACCAACAACAAAAATAAAATTGGAATAATCAGAATGTTTACGGCGAGAGGATATTTTTTGCCGTCAGACTGTAGAAGGAGTCCTATCGAGCCATGATGGTCCGTGGGACTCCTGAGGCAGCTGTCCAGTACCGGCCAAGCGTGCCGCGGCCCGGGCTGTTGCAGAGGCAAAAACCCGGGACTGGGAGGAGTTCGGAGAGATTCTGGCAAACCGTCCGGCGCCTCAGGAGGGGGAAGCAGTGCTTTGCCAACACCATGTACGGTGCGGGTGGAGAGCTGCTGACCTCGACTGGGGATATTGTCGGGCGGTGGAAGGAATACTTCGAGGTTCTCCTCAATCCCCCCGTCATGTCCTCCGTCCAGGAGGCAGAGGCTGAGGATGTTGGGGCGGATACATCCATCTCCCTGGCTGAGGTCACCAAGGTGGTTGGCAGCCTCCATGGTGGCAAGGCGCCGGGAGTGGATGAGATCCGTCCTGACTATCTAAAGTCTCTGGATGTTGTAGGACTGTCTTGGCTGACACGTCTCTGCAGCATCGCGTGGCGATCGGGGGCAGTGCCAATGGAGTGGCAGACCGGGGTGGTGGTCCCTCTCTACAAGAAGGGGGACCGGAGGGTGTGTTCCAATTATTGTGGGATCACACTCCCCAGCCTCCCCGGTAAGGTCTACTCCAAGGTACTGGAGACGAGGCTACGGCCGATGGTCGAATCTCGGATTCAGGAGGAGCAGTGTGGTTTTCATCACTGGACCAGCTCTATACTCTCCATCGGATACTCGAGGGTTCATGGGAGTTCGCCCAACCTGTCCACATGTCCTTTGTGGATTTGGAGAAGGCGTTCGACTGTGTTCCCCGGAGTGTCCTTTGGGGGGTTCTCCGGGAGTACGGGGTCGGGGGTGCTCTGCTGAGGGCCATCCGATCCCTGTATGACCGGAGCCGGGCCTCCGACAGGGCTGCCCTTTGTCACCGGTTCTGTTCACTGTATTTATGGACAGAATTTCTAGGCGCAGCCAGGGGCCGGTGGGGGTCGGGTTCGGAGACCACAGGATTTCATCTCTGCTGTTTGCAGACGATGTTGTCCTGTTGGCTCCAACAAACCAGGACCTGCAGCATGCACTGGGACGGTTTGCAGCCGAGTGTGAAGCGGCTGGGATGAGAAACAGCACCTCCAAATCTGAGGCTGGAAAAATGTGCCCTGCCCTCTCCAGGTCCTGGTCCTCTCCTGAAGAGGACCTTCCTCAAGTATCTCGGGGTCTTGTTCACGAGTGAGGGAAGGATGGAGCGTGAGATTGACAGGCGGATCGGTGCAGCGTGCGCAGTGATGCGGTCGCTGTATCGGACCGTTGTGGTAAAGAGGGAGCAGCGTCTGCAGTCAGAGCTATATTGGACCGTTGTGGTAAAGAGGGAGCTGAGCCGAAAGGCAAAGCTCTCAATTTACCGGTCAATCTTCGTCCCCTCCCTCACCTATGGTCATGAGCTTTGGGTAATGACCGAAAGAACGAGATCGCGGATACAAGCGGTCGAAATGAGCTTCCTCCGCAGAGTGGCTGCTCCCTTAGAGATAGGGTGAGGAGCTCAGTCACACGGGAGGAGCTCGGAGTAGAGCCGCTGCTTCTCCACGTCGAGAGGAACCAGTTGAGGTGGCTCGGGCATCTGTTCCGGATGCCTCCTGGACGCCTCCCTGGGGAGGCCCAAAACTTTCTTAAAATGAATGATAAAAAAACAGAAGTGATTCTCTTTGGGGCCAACCAGGTGGATGTGGGACCGCTGAGTGAACATGTGCGTCCCACAGTCACCAACCTTGGCGTCACTATAGACAGTGATTTTAAATTTGACAAGCAGGTCAACAGTGTTTTAAAATCGAGTTTTTATCATCTGCGGCTTTTATCCAAGGTTAAAACTTTTTTATCTTTTAAGTAAGTAATCTTTTATTTATATACCGCCTTTTCACTGCACATCGGAGTCTCAAAGCGGTTTACAATTGTTATTTTTTTGGGAGTGGGGGTGCCAGTACAGGAGGCACATGCCAGACCTATTGTACATATTTTTAGTGGTAGGGGAAACCGGAGCACCCGGAGGAAACCTACGCAGACACGGGGAGAACATGCAAACTCCACTCAGAAAGGCCCTGGTCCAACCGGGATTTGAACCCAGGACCTTCTTGCTGAGAGGCGAGAGTGCTATCCACTCAGCCACCGTGCCGCTTAACCTTTTTGAAAAAGTTATGCACGCTTTTATTTCTTCACGTCTGGACTACTGTAACGCACTCTACTCCGGTATTTCACACAAGGCACTTCACCGGCTACAGTTAGTCCAGAACTTTGCGGCACGGCTTTTAACAGGAACCAAAAAGCGCGACCACATCACTCCCGTCCTTGCGTCCTTGCACTGGCTTCCTGTTCATTTTAGAATTGATTTTAAGATTTTATTGTTTGTTTTTAAAGCTCTGAATGGACTGGCCCCTCCTTACATCTCGGACCTCATCCAGATTTACCACCCGCCCCGCGCACTGAGGTCCGAGAGCCAGCTCCAGCTCGTGGTGCCTAAGACGAGACTTAAAACCCGGGGGGACAGGGCCTTCTCTGTGGCTGGACCAAAGCTCTGGAACGCCCTGCCCCCCCACGTCAAAACAGCTCCCTCGTTGGAATGTTTTAAGTCACGTCTTAAGACCCACTTTTATTCTCTGGCTTTTAACACCGCGTGAGTCGTGTGGTCCTCTGTGTTTTTATTTTATTTTATTTATTTATGTATTTTCTTATATAAATGTGTGTATTCATTTATTTGTTGCAATTTTGCATGTTGTGCAGCACTTTGGAAACTGCGTGTTTATGAAATGTGCTATATAAATAAAGTGGATTGGATTGGATTGGATTGGATTGGAGGTGTTCCGGGCACGTCCCACCGGGAGGAGGCCCCAGGGAAGACCTAGGACACGCTGGAGGGACTATGTCTCTCAGCTGGCCTGGGAACGCCTCGGGGTCGGACGAGCTGGAGGAAGTGTGTGAGAGGGAAGTCTGGGCGTCTCTGCTTAGACTGCTGCCCCCGCGACCCGGCAACAGATGAAGCGGAAGAAAATGGAACGGAATGGATATTTTTGGCAATGATTCATGAATGTAACTAAATGAAGCGACGACACATATAGCTATATTAGTCTCAGTCTGTATTATTATTATTATTTTTATTATTATTCTCATTTATTATCTTACCTGATACTAATACTTCTCCCCCATAATGCCCGTGGTGTGTGCAGGTGGGGGGTGCAGACAGCTACAGTGCAGACAACATGAGGAGACTCGCCCACAGTCTGAGTGGGACGGCCATCGGACCCCAGACCTCTGTGAGTCCTGGTTTCAGTCCAGTCAGTCTCTCATCCTGAAGCTAGCTCTGCACTGCCTCCCTGTGGCACTCATCAGAACTGCTGCCTCCATCTCTGTGTCACTGTGTCACTAATGCAAACATGAGGAAGCTTTGTGTATGTTCTTGATCACAAAGAAACACATCAATGTATAAGTGCAGCAGCAGCAGCAGCAGCAGCAGCAGCAGCAGCAGCAGCAGCAGCAGCAGCAGCAGTAGCAGCAGCAGTAGCAGTAGCAGCAGCAGCAGCAGCAGCAGCAGTAGCAGCAGCAGCAGCAGCAGTAGCAGTAGCAGCAGTAGGATTAGTAGCAGCAGCAGCAGCAGTAGCAGCAGCAGCAGTAGCAGCAGCAGCAGCAGCAGCAGCAGCAGCAGCAGCAGCAGTAGCAGCAGCAGCAGCAGCAGCAGCAGCAGCAGCAGCAGCAGTAGCAGTAGTTATATATATTCAGTTCTGTGGATGTGCCTCGGGGCAGAACATTAAACATTGAAGTGATTTAGTTTTTCCATTAGTCTTTAACATCACAGCAACAGAAACTCTCTGATGTCAAGAACTGAGCCCAGGGGCTGACCAGAGGCTCTAGTCCGAGCTCCAGTCAGAGCTGCATCTATAACCCAGTGTCCTGCAGTAGCTATAACTGCCAAGTCTGTGAAAGGTCTGGTCCGTGAGAGAGACCAGAGAGAGACCAGAGAGAGACCAGAGAGAGACCAGAGAGAGAGACCAGAGAGAGACCAGAGAGAGAGACCAGAGAGAGAGACCAGAGAGAGACCAGAGAGAGACCAGAGAGAGACCAGAGAGAGACCACAGAGAGACCAGAGAGAGACCAGAGAGAGCCCAGAGAGAGACCAGAGAGAGACCAGAGAGAGACCACAGAGAGACCAGAGAGAGACCAGAGAGAGACCAGAGAGAGACCAGAGAGAGACCAGAGAGAGACCAGAGAGAGACCAGAGAGAGAGACCAGAGAGGAGGAGCTCTTTGCAAAGGTCTATCTAAGAATCTTATATTTATAAAGGAAAAGAGAATCCAAAAGTGTTGTTTGTCTTCATGGTCCTCTGTGTGGGCTAACGTCTGTCTGGGTCCATAGGTTCATGGTCCTCTGTGTGGGCTAACGTCTGTCTGGGTCCATAGGTTCATGGTCCTCTGTGTGGGCTAACGTCTGTCTGGGTCCATAGGTTCATGGTCCTCTGTGTGGGCTAACGTCTGTCTGGGTCCATAGGTTCATGGTCCTCTGTGTGGGCTAACGTCTGTCTGGGTCCATAGGTTCATGGTCCTCTGTGTGGGCTAACGTCTGTCTGGGTCCATAGGTTCATGGTCCTCTGTGTGGGCTAACGTCTGTCTGGGTCCATAGGTTCATGGTCCTCTGTGTGGGCTAACGTCTGTCTGGGTCCATAGGTTCATGGTCCTCTGTGTGGGCTAACGTCTGTCTGGGTCCATAGGTTCATGGTCCTCTGTGTGGGCTAACGTCTGTCTGGGTCCATAGGTTCATGGTCCTCTGTGTGGGCTAACGTCTGTCTGGGTCCATAGGTTCATGGTCCTCTGTGTGGGCTAACGTCTGTCTGGGTCCATAGGTTCATGGTCCTCTGTGTGGGCTAACGTCTGTCTGGGTCCATAGGTTCATGGTCCTCTGTGTGGGCTAACGTCTGTCTGGGTCCATAGGTTCATGGTCCTCTGTGTGGGCTAACGTCTGTCTGGGTCCATAGGTTCATGGTCCTCTGTGTGGGCTAACGTCTGTCTGGGTCCATAGGTTCATGGTCCTCTGTGTGGGCTAACGTCTGTCTGGGTCCATAGGTTCATGGTCCTCTGTGTGGGCTAACGTCTGTCTGGGTCCATAGGTTCATGGTCCTCTGTGTGGGCTAACGTCTGTCTGGGTCCATAGGTTCATGGTCCTCTGTGTGGGCTAACGTCTGTCTGGGTCCATAGGTTCAGTTCCAACATGAGTTAGTCTGAGTTGAAGTGAATCTATTATGGTTTTTCTAAAACATATTTTACACATAGACACACACATGTTTGTTTTCCCTTCTTTCAACTGAAGCCCTGTTACTGTGTGAAATATGTGTGTGTACAGTGTGTGTGTATATGTCTGTATGTGTGTGTTTGAATGTGTGTGCGTGTATGTACTGTATGTGTGTGTGTGTGTGTGTTTATTGTATATGTGTCTGTTTGACGCAGCCTAAAGTGAATGAATCAATGAAAGTTTTCCAAAGCTCTGGATGTGTTTTGGTTCTGTCCTTCACTCTCTCACTCTCTCACTCTCTCACTCTCTCACTCTGTCACTCTGTCACTCTGTCACTCTCTCACTCTCTCACTCTCTCACTCTCTCACTCTGTCACTCTCTCACTCTGTCACTCTCTCACTCTCTCACTCTCTCACTCTCTCACTCTGTCACTCTCTCACTCTGTCACTCTGTCACTCTCTCACTCTGTCACTCTGTCACTCTGTCACTCTGTCACTCTCTCACTCTCTCACTCTCTCACTCTCTCACTCTGTCACTCTCTCACTCTGTCACTCTGTCACTCTGTCACTCTCTCACTCTGTCACTCTGTCACTCTGTCACTCTCTCACTCTGTCACTCTGTCACTCTGTCACTCTCTCACTCTGTCACTCTGTCACTCTCTCACTCTCTCACTCTCTCACTCTGTCACTCTCTCACTCTCTCACTCTGTCACTCTCTCACTCTGTCACTCTCTCACTCTGTCACTCTGTCACTCTGTCACTCTCTCACTCTGTCACTCTGTCACTCTCTCACTCTGTCACTCTCTCACTCTGTCACTCTGTCACTCTGTCACTCTGTCACTCTGTCACTCTCTCACTCTGTCACTCTGTCACTCTTTCACTCTCTCACTCTGTCACTCTGTCACTCTCTCACTCTCTCACTCTGTCACTCTCTCACTCTCTCACTCTGTCACTCTGTCACTCTCTCACTCTGTCACTCTCTCACTCTCTCACTCTCTCACTCTGTCACTCTGTCACTCTGTCACTCTCTCACTCTGTCACTCTGTCACTCTCTCACTCTCTCACTCTGTCACTCTCTCACTCTGTCACTCTCTCACTCTGTCACTCTCTCACTCTGTCACTCTCTCACTCTCTCACTCTCTCACTCTCTCACTCTGTCACTCTGTCACTCTGTCACTCTGTCACTCTCTCACTCTGTCACTCTGTCACTCTGTCACTCTGTCACTCTCTCACTCTGTCACTCTCTCACTCTGTCACTCTCTCACTCTGTCACTCTGTCACTCTGTCACTCTCTCACTCTGTCACTCTCTCACTCTGTCACTCTCTCACTCTGTCACTCTGTCACTCTCTCACTCTGTCACTCTCTCACTCTGTCACTCTCTCACTCTGTCACTCTCTCACTCTGTCACTCTCCCCCTCCCCCCACAGGACCCCCCACTGCCCAAACCCCCCCTCAGACAGCTGTCTGCCTCCACGCTGCCTCGCCGGCCCAGCTCCTCCTCCGTGCACAACCCTACTCCTCCCCGATCCACAGAGCACCTCCAGCACCTGTACCCCCCCTCACTCCCCCCGCACCATCAGCCGTCACGGACCCCCACCACAGGTACCAGCCACAGCCCACACCAGCAACACAGACACCAGCAGCTGACCCACACCAGCAACACAGACACCAGCAGCTGACCCACACCAGCAACACAGACACCAGCAGCTGATCCACACCAGCAACACAGACACCAGCAGCTGATCCACACCAGCAACACAGACACCAGCAGCTGACCCACACCAGCAACACAGACACCAGCAGCTGATCCACACCAGCAACACAGACACCAGCTGCTGATCCACACCAGCAACACAGACACCAGCAGCTGACCCACACCAGCAACACAGACACCAGCAGCTGACCCACACCAGCAACACAGACACCAGCAGCTGACCCACACCAGCAACACAGACAGGAGAACCTGTGCATGAAGCTCCCTGCCCGAGGCTGGTAGAACGGTGAGGCTGGTAAAGCCATCCTCGATGGGTGACTGTTGTAGTTTGCACATTGGACCAGCGGGGGCGCCCCACCCTCAGCATTCTACGCGCTGTGCTGAGGGCAGTGCGGCGTCAGCCTTATACTTTTGGGACGATGGGAAAACGAGGTCTTCTTCTTCAGCGGGCTCTGTTTTTCTGCGTAGAGTGTGTCTGTGTCCCCGTCTGCAGAGTACATTAAGGAGAACCATCAGGATGGACCCCCCTCGATTGGAACACTTCCCCATCCAGCAATACTATCGGAGAGTCCAGAAGATCATACAGGACAGTGGCTGATCATGGACTATTCACACTGCTGCCTCTGGGAGGCGCTATTGTCTCCACAGACAAAAGACTAAACCGGGCCTAACTCTATCTGTGTTATTTCTCTCTTATTGTGTGTTCTGAGTTCTGTACTGAACATCTGCTGGAGGTACATAAGAATTTAGTTGCCAAATTGACCCCTGGATATCATTTACAATTCCGACGCCGGCCACACATGTCAGGCTGGGTCAAGGTGACTTTGATCACAGACCCGGCAAAGGCTCATTTACTGGATCAGGATCTCTCTGCCCTCCTCAAGGCGGTAGACTCTCTGCTGCAAGCCCTACTCCACATCAATGTGTCCACTTATCTCTCCAGCTGGTTTTACTCCACCTGCTGTGGAAGTATGTCCGTATTTGATGGGACAACACCTCGGTCGTGTATCTCATCAACCATCAAGAGGATTTCCGGTCAGCTCGGCTCCTCAAGGCGTCTCAGAATCTGCTGATGTGAGGTGCAGCTCACATCATGTCAAGGTTTCTTTCTCTGGCTTTGGCCCCAGCTCTGGGGGCATTGGAGGTCTGCATTACTGTGACTGCAGGTTCTTTGTCTGTTATTGTGGGACTAGACTGGGCAGTCCGCTTTCCAAACAACGACTTTCCACTGGGTTTGTGTGGGCCACGACCCGCTGGGGGCCTATACTCTCTGCCTCCTGGGCCGCTCTGCGGAGGTTCCTCTGGGGACAGTCTGTGCTGCTACATCTTGGGCGACGCCGAGTACGTTCACCAGATTCTTTTTTTTTTTTTTCTTTTTTTTTTTTTTACAAACTTTATTTATCATTTTCATAGTAATTACAAACAGTACACTTTTATTTCAACATAATCTATAAAACCGTATTCCCTCCCACCCATGGCTCTTAAAAAGAAAAAAGAAAAAAGAAAATAAAAAGGACAGACATTTTGTAGAATGACATAACCAATGACAAAACAGATACCAATTACACATCAAAAGAAAATTGTCTAACATATTCTACAAAGGGCTTCCAGGTAACAAAACATTTATGTTGTGATGGTGCTAGTTTATGTCTGAGCTTTTCCAACGATAGAAAAGAAAGAACCTCCTTCAACCACTGAGAAAATGAAGGGGCCCTGTTTGATTTCCAATTAAATAATATTAATTGACGAGCGAGTAAAGTTGCAAATGCAACAGCATTTGCCTGAAAGCAATTTACCTGTGATGATGTTATTCCAAAAATAGCTCTTCTGAAATCAGGAGCCAGATCTTGACCACAAATACGAGACAATACGTGAAAAATGTTCCCCCAATAACTGTCTAGACCAGGACAGGACCAAAGCATGTGGCCTTCAGAGGCCGGGCTCTGACCTCAGGCCGGCTGGGTCCACTCCTGGAAAAATTCTAGCTAATTTTTTGTTAGTATAATGAAGGCGATGAAGAACTTTAAACTGGATCAGCCCGAGGCGAACACAAAGGGAAGATCATATTGTTGAAGAATCAAATGATCTAAACCCATCCTCTGAAAACAGCTGATAAACGAACTTCAAACCTTTATCATGCCAAATCTGAAACGTTTGATCCAAAATTGAGGGTAAGAAAAATGGATTGCAAGATAATGGGAGATATCGACTCACTTCCTGGAAAGAGAAATGTTTTCTAAACTGAAACCATATCCTAAGAGACGTCTTAACAATTGGATTGGTTATTTGTATCTTTTTACAATCATAGGGTAATGATGAAGTTACCAAAGGCATAGGGTTAGAAAGCAGATCTCCCCCTCAGTTCCCTCATACAGATGCCTCCAATGTAACAACTTAGAAATATTAGCTGCCCAGTAGTAATAAGCAGTGGCGGCCGGCCAATAGAGGGCGCTAGGGCGCCGCCCCACCACTCACAACTTGCCATGTTACCTTGGATAAAACGTTAAAAAAAATAATAACATTAAAATATTTTGAAATTTATGTGTGTTTTATTTCAGATGTGGAAGAAATACTTTATAGTTTATGCTGAGTTGGATTGATTAAGCTCATCAGCGTTGTCTGTGTCGGACTGAGGACGTATTTCCGCCTCAGGGCGCAAAAGATTGCGCCCTGAGCCGTCTATGGACTCTCGTTAAAAGTTGTACATGCGCAGTAGCTCCTCTTCAATGCAAGAGATAAGACGATTTGGGGGCGCAGGAGAAGTGCGCCCTGAGGGGGCGGGATCGCCCGCGACCTGTACTGTCACTGTCTGTGACGTCCGTTTACAGTGATTGACAGGTCAAGCTGTGGGAGTTTGAGACGAACGTAAAGAGACGCAAAATGGAGAACGAGAAAAAGAATAATTCAGTTAGATCACTCAAAACAATACCGTTTGAGAGAAGATCATACCAGGAGAAGGTTGAGGTTAAAGAGCTTGGACGTGATCAGCCAAATATTACCATTAGTCAGCAGTCCAGCGACAGGGGAGACGGTACTCGTACTTTTTCCAGGACCTGGTTCAGCGCCAAATCTTGGCTAGCAGCATGTAGCGAGGCTAATGCTTTATTTTGCTTTCCATGCCTCTTGTTTCAAACATCAGGATCTGACCCAGCATGGATCAAGACAGGTATGACTGATCTGAAGCACTTTTTAGAAAAGGCAAAGAAGCATGAGCAGACTGGTATCCACATGCAAAATGCCCTCAAATTAGCTATGTTTGGGAAGATAAATATTTCATCCCAGCTGGATGAAAGCTACAGGGTAGGGATCAGAAAGCATCCCTACCCTGCTGGTATATATCTAGTCATCATATTCATAGCCCCCCCAGTAGAAAATTCCACCAGCCGCCACTGGTAATAAGTAAAACCAGGCAGCCCGAGTCCCCCAGCTTCTTTAGGCACCTCTAAGAATTTCTTTTTCATCCTAGGATTGGAATTATTCCAAATAAAAGTTGCTATCAGACTATCTAATTTTTTAAAAACCGATTTTGGCACAAAAAAGGGGATCATTTGGAACACATAGAGAAACTTGGGTAAAACTGCCATTTTAACTATATTTATCCTGCCTGCCAAGGATATTGGTAATGTTGCCCATTTTTTTAAAATTCTCAACCGTTTTTTCCAACAATATGTCAAAGTTTTGGGTTCGCAGCTCTGCCATTGAGCGTGTAATATATATTCCTAAATACTTAAATACCTTTTTTTCTACTTTAAAAGGGAAAATCAGAAAAATCCTTATCAATATTATTAACAGGGAACAGTAAACTTTTTGCATAATTCAATTTGTATCCTGAAAGGCGACCAAACATATCCAAAGTCTTAAGCACTTTTGGCACCGATTCAATAGGGTTGGAAATATACAGCAGCAGGTCATCAGCATAAAGGGAAACCTTATGTGTTATGCCTCCTCTGGAGATCCCTATAACCTCTTCATCATTTCTTAGTGCTATAGCTAACGGTTCGATTGCCAAATCAAAAAGATAGGGAGAGAGACTACAGCCCTGTCTACATCCCCTATGCAAATCAAAGAAGTCTGAAATCATGTTATTTGTACGCACAGAAGCAACAGGGGAGGAGTACAGTATCCGAATCCATTTTTGGAATAAGGGACCAAATCCAAATTTCTGTAAGACTGCGAAAAGGTACTGCCACTCAATACGGTCAAATGCCTTTTCGGCATCCAGTGAAATGATTATCTCCGATTTGTCCGTGTTTTCTGGCATATGTATAATATTAAGTAAACGCCGCATATTGTAAAATGACTGCCTGCCAGATATAAAACCAGTCTGATCTGGATCAATGACTTCTGGTATGATGGTATTAATCCTATCTGCTAACATTTTTGTAAGGATTTTGTAATCACTATTCAAGAGGCTCACAGGCCTGTACGAACCACACAGTAGTGGATCCTTTCCTTCTCTATGCAAAACTGATATTATGGCTTGCGTCATGGTTTGAGGTAATATACTAAGACTAAAACTTTATTGATAGACTGCTTTTAATTTCGGTGCCAATTTGTCAACAAAAACTTTATACAAATCTATAGGAAAGCCATCGGGCCCTGGTGCTTTATTACCCTGCATTGATTTAATTGCCTGAACTATTTCTCCGGTTGTTATCTCTTTTTCAATTTGAGTTCTACTTTCTGGAGTAATATGTGGAATAGGTAAACCATCTAAAAAGTTAGCTAAGCTTATATTATTAACAGACTCAGAACTGTAAAGAGTAGGATCATATTGTTTAAAGTCGTCATGAATGGTTTTCGGATCAGCAGTCTTCTTCTCCCGAAGCTTTGCAGATTTCAGAGATCGCATTTGCAGCAACGGATTGTTTAATCTGATGAGCAAGAAGTTTCCCAGCCCTTTTGCCATGTTCATAGAAGGTTTGTTTTGATTTGAGAAAAAGATGCTCTGTTTGTTTCACAGAGAGTCCTTCAAATTCAGAATTCAATAGCAATTTTCTTGGATAGAGATCTGGTGTTGGGCCTTCCGCATAAAAGCGATCTATTTCCTTTATATTATCAGACAGTTCATTAAGTTTTTGTTTATCCCTTTTCCTTTGAAACGCTGAGTATGACATTATCTGACCTCTAATAAACGTTTTAAAAGCTTCCCAGATAATACTCATCTGCATGCCTGGGGTTTGATTGAGGTCCATAAAATAATCTATTTGTTCAGAAATCATACTTTTAAATGAATCATAAGACATCAATCGAGGGTCGAGACGCCACGTCTGTCTAGGCCTGGGGCTCTCAGAGAATCTGATATCCAATTGGACAGGACTATGATCTGAAATGACAATGCTGTTGTATTGGCAATCAGTTACATCTGGCAAAATCTCTCTATCTACAATGAAAAAAATCAATCCTTGAATATGTGCGGTGCACAGGAGAAAAAAAGGAAAATTGTTTGGTTATAGGGTTTAAGTTTCTCCATGGTTCCAAAAGACCATAAGATTTCATGAAGTTGTGAATAACAGAGCTGGCTTTTGAAAGTTTACTATTTGGTCCTGGATTAGATCTATCTAAATGTGGATGGAGCACAAGATTAAAATCTCCCCCCAATATCAATTGGCTATCTGTGATGTCTGGTAGAATCCCTATTAGGGTGGAGAAGAAGTTAGGATCATCATAGTTTGGTCCATATATATTTGCCAAAATAACCTGTTTCCCATATAATTTACCTTTCACGATGATATATCTACCTCTATTATCTGCAATTGTTGTTAGTGGAATGAAAGGAATTCCCTTTCTAATCAAAATAGCAGTCCCTCTTGTCTTAGCATCGTGCTTTGAGTTAAATATCTGCCCTATCCAAGGTTTTTTAAGTCTATTTTGTTCAGTCAAACGGAGATGCGTTTCCTGTAGGTACATCACATCAGACTTTAATGATTTTAAATGTGCCAAAACTCTGGATCGTTTAGTTGGATTATTAATACCCTTAACATTCCAACTTAAAAAACGGAGACTGGTGTTGCCCTGCAAATCACCCATTTAAGTGTATTGTAAAATAAAATCTATAATACAATAGAAAAATACAGTTGTTTCTGCCCAGTAAAACAAGAAAACAAAAGAAACCAAAAATAAAAACCCTGTGCTGATCTACTATATAAAATAAAAATAGAGATCGCATCCCTGATTGCTAGCAAAACGCAACAGCTAAACATCCTACAACTCCTCAAGTGCCCAGCTACGGGGCAAACACTATGAACTTTGTCAAAAACTATAATATATATATACATAAACATATCCCTACACATATATATACAAAAACATATATATATTTTTTTTTATTTAAATGTCTCCCCCGGGGGGAACATGTAAAACAACATTCTCCTTTACAAAATCAAGTAGGTAGATACAACTAATACTACAAATAAGTGAGAATAAATAATAATAACAATAATAAAAAAGAAAACAACTCTCCATTCATTTATTTCTTTCTTCATTCCTTCCTTTAATCCATTCATTTACTTATCTTTTCTTTCTTCATTCCTTCATTTACATTCATTGTATTATTATTTCATTTATTTAATTCCTTCCTTCATTCCTTCATTCCATTTTATCATTGGTAAGTTCTTCCTTCATCTATTTATTTTATTTATTTCATTCACTTCATTCATATTACTTCATTTATTCACTTCATTCGCTTTCTACATTTATTATCTTCATACCATTCGTTTGCTTTAATTCTTTATTCCTTCCTTCCTTTATTTACTTTATGATCATTCATTCAATTAATATGTCTTCATCCTTTCTTCATTCCTTAAATTTCATTTCTTTATTTCTTTATTTCTTCACTTACTTCCTTCATCACTTACTTACCTACCAATAATAATATCCTCAATTATATCCTATCCGATTCCATACATTATTTCCGACTCCAACCATTAATCCAACCTATTCTTCCTTCCATCAATATATATTCATTCATCTATTTCATTCCTATCTTCCAAATAGTTCCTATCACTTATTCCTAATCTAGCCTTCCGTACCTCCGTATCTCATATCGTACCAGTCTGACTACCTTCCAACCTACCATCCAACCAAACTTGAAACTACGCGACCAAAACACCTAACCGTTCACAAAAACTTAAATCTCCTTATCCTTCATTTAATTCTCATGCATTTCTCTTCATTCATATCATCAGATTTATTTCTACTGTATTCATTCAGTCATTTATTCCTTCACTTATGTTATACATCACACTCACGCCCCCCACCCCGCCGGCTTCGTGCGGCCCCGAGTTAGATCCTCCACCCCCCCCCCCCACCCACCCCCCCCACCCCACCCACCCCCCCCCCCCCCCCACCCCCCCCCCCACCCCCCCCCCCCCACCCACCAACCCCCCACCCCACCCACCCAACCCCCCCACCACCCCCCCCCCCACCCACCCACCCACCACCACCCCCCACCACCCCCCCACCCACCCCCCCACCCACCCCCCCCCCCCCACCCCCCCACCCCCCCACCCACCCCCCCCCCCCCCCCACCCCCCAACCACCCACCCCCCCACCCACCCCCCACCCACCCCCCCCCCCCCCCACCCACCCACCCCCCAGCCCCCACCACCCCCCCCCCCCCACCCCCACCCCCCACCCACCCCACCCCCCCACCCCCCCCCCCCCCCCCCCCCCCCCCCCCCCCACCCACCCCCCCCTCATCCCCCCCCAACCCCCACCCACCAACCCCCCCCCAACCCCCCCCAACCCCACCCCCCCCCCCCCACCCCCCCCCCCCCCCCCCCCAACCCCACCCCCCCACCCACCCAACCCTCCCCCACCCCCACCCACCACCCCACCCCCCCATCCCCCCCACCCCACCCCACCCCCCACCCCACCCCCAACCCACCCACCACCCCCCCCACCCCCCACCCATCCCCACCCCCCCCACCCATCACCCCACCCACACCCACCCCACCCCCCACCCCCCCCCCCCCCCACCACCCATCCACCCCCCCCCACCCCCCCCCACCCACCCACCCCCCCCCTACCACCCACCCCACCCACCCCCCCACCCCCCCCACCCACCCACCCCCCATTCCCCCCCACCACCCCCCCCCACCCCCCCCACCCCACCCCCCCCCCTCACCCCCCCCCCACCCACCCCCCCCACCCCCCAACCAAACCACCCACCCACCCCCCCCCACCACCCCCCACCCACCCACCCCCCCCCATACCACCCCCCCCACCCCACCACCCACCCCCCCCACCCCCATCCCCCCCCATCCACCCACCCATCCCCATCCACACCCCCCACCCCCCCCCCCCCACCCCCCCCACCCACCCCCCCCCTCCCACCCCCCACCCCCCCCACCCACCCATTACATCCAACCCACCCACCCACCCCCACCCCCCCACCCACCCCCACCCACCCCACCCACCCCCATCCCCCCCCACCCCCACCCACCCCACACCCCACCCATCCCACCCCCACCCACCCCAACCCACCCCACCCCCCCCCACCCCCCCCACCCCCCCACCCCACCCACCCCACCACCCCCCACCCACCCCACCCACCCCATCCACCACCCCCCCATATGGCCCCACCACCCCCCCCCCACCCACCATACCCCCCCCACCCCCCCCCCACCCACCCCCCCCCATCCACCCACCCACCACCCACCCACCCCCCCACCCCACCCCCACCCCACACCCACCCCCCCACCCCAACCCCACCCCCACCCCCACCCCCCCCCCCATCCCACCCCCCCCCCACCCCCCCACCCACCCCCCCCCCCCCCCACCACCCCCACCCCCACCCCCCCCACCCCACCACCCCCCACCCCCCCCCCACGCCCACCCCCACCCATCCCCCCCACCCACCCACCACCCCCCCCCACCCCATCCAGCCACCCACCCCCCCACCCACCACCACCCCACACCCCCCCACCCACCCCCACCCACCCACCCCCCCCCACCATACCACCCACCCCCCCCCCCACCCCCACCCACCCCCCCACCCACCACCCACCACCCACCCATCCCACCCCCATCCCCCCCCCCCCCCCACCCCCCCCACCCCACCCCCCACCCCACCCACCCCACCCCCATCCCACCACCCCATCCCCCCACCCACCCCCACCCATCGCCCCCACCACCCACCCACCACCCCCCCCCCCTACCCACCCCATCCATCCCCCCATCCACCCACCCTCCCACCCAACCCAGCCACACCCCCCCCCCACCCCCACCCACCCCCCCACCCACCCCCACCCACCCCCCCCCCCCACCCACCACCCCACACCCCCCCACCCCACCCACCCCCCACCCCCCCACCCCACCCACCCCCCACATCCACCCCACCACCCCACCCACCCCCCCCCACCCACATCCACCCACCACCCCCACCCACCACCCCCATCCCCCCCACCCATCCCCCATCCATCCACCACCCACCCCCCCCCGCCCACCCCCATCCCCCCATCCACCCCCCACCCACCCCCCACCCAACATCCCCACCACCCCACCCAACCCACCCCACCCACCCCCCCACCCCCCCACCACCCACCAACATCCCCACCACCCACCCACCCCCATCCACCCCCCAACCCACCCACCCCACCCACCCATCCACCCACTCCACCACCACCCACCCCCCCATCCCATCCATCCACCCCCCCACCCATCCATCCCAAATGCCATCCATCCACCCCACCCCACCCCCCACCCAACCCCCACCAACCATCCCCCCACCCCCCACACCCCCATCCACCCCCCCACACCCAACAATCCACCCACCCACCCACCCATCCACATCCACCCCACCCTCCACCCATCAACCCCTCAACACCACCCACCCCACCCCCCCCACCCCCCACCCCCCCACCCCCCACCCCCACCCACCCACCCCCCACCCCCACCCCCCCACCCCACCCCCCCACCCCCACCACCCCACACCCACCCCCACACCACCCCACCCCACCCACCCATCCATTCCACCCATCCACCCACCCACCCCCATCCATCACCCACCCACCCATCCATCATCCACCCCACCCATCCATCCATCCCATCCCCCACCCATCCCCATCCATCCCACCACCCATCCACCATCCACCCATCCCACCCATCCACCCCACCACCCACCCATACCATCCATCCACCACCCACCACCCATCACCCCCATCCACCCATCCACCCACGCCATCCATCCCACCACCCACCCACCCATCCATCCACCCACCCACCCCACCCATCATCCACCCACCCATCCATCCATCCACCACCCACCCACCCATCATCCCACCCACCCACCCATCCATCCACCCCACCCACCCACCATCATCCACCACCCACCCATCCATCCATCCACCACCACCCACCCCACCCATCCATCCATCCACCCATCCCATCCACCCACCCACCCATCCACCCCATCCATCCATCCACCCCACCCATCCATCATCCACCCACCCATCCATCCACCCACCCATCCATCCACCCACCATCCATCCCCACACCCATCCATCCATCCACCCACCCCATCCATCCACCCACCCATCCATCCCATCCACCCATCCACCCATCCACCCACCTCCATCCATCCCCATCCATCCACCCATCCCCATCCCCCATCCATCATCCACCCATCCCATTCCCCACCCACCACCACCATCCACCCACCATCCACCCACCCACCCATCCACCCACCCACCCATCCATCATCCACCCATCCATCCCACCCACCCATCCATCCATCCACCCATCCACCCACCCACCCACCCATCCACCCCACCCACCCACCCATCCATCATCCACCCATCCATCATCCACCCACCCATCCATCCATCCACCCATCCACCCACCCACCCACCCATCCACCCACCCACCCATCCATCATCCACCCATCCATCATCCACCCACCCATCCATCCATTCACCCATCCATCCACCCACCCATCCACCCACCCATCCATTCCATCCACCCACCCACCCATCCACCCATCCACCCACCCCATCCACCCATCCATCCATCTATAGATAGATAGATAGATATGAATAACATTATTATAGATTGATAGAGATTAGCGGAACTCGCCCATATTTGGGCATCGTGTGGTCCTCCTGGTTCTGCGCAGTGGACGAGCTCCCATGATGCTTTGTGGCTCTCAGGCACATGCACAGAGGGGCTTGGCCGCACGGGAAGGAAACGATCAGAGTTTGTTGGATGACAACATGACACGGGTCACTAAAATCCACACAAAATCTGACCTTTATGAAAGCTGTAGGTTCTCTGTCAGGTTCTCTGTCAGGTTCTCTGGAGGTTCTCTGTCAGTTTCTCTGGAGGTTCTCTGTCAGGTTGTCTGGAGGTTCTCTGTCAGTTTCTCTGGAGGTTCTCTGTCAGGTTCTCTGTCAGCTGAGGTCGAGCTGTTTCAGTTTACATTGAGTTCTATGGGACTTTTTTCTATGTAGCCCAAGTGAATCTAGCCTGCAGTACCACAGCGCCCCCTGTGCCCATGGGTGGGACAGCTATAAGCAGTAATAATATTGTGGGTAGTCTTACTCCAGCCAAAGAAGGGCGGCAGGCTCCAGCCGAGGGAGTAGACCCAGGCGGCTGAGAGGATGAGGAGGGCCCTCTGCTGGGACAGGACCCCGATGGAGGTCAGGGGCCGCGTGATCACAAAGTACCGGTCCACCGCGATCACCGTCAGTGTGACCATGGAGCAGATCCCAAACAGAGCTCCACAGAAGGCATACAACTCACAGGCTGCAAGAGAGACCAGAGAGAGACCAGGTGAGGGACCAGAGAGAGACCAGGTGAGGGACCAGAGAGGCCGAGAAAGACCAGAAAGAGACCAGTGAGAAACCAGGTGAGGGACCAGAGAGAGACCAGGTGAGGGACCAGAGAGGCCGAGAAAGACCAGAAAGAGACCAGTGAGAAACCAGGTGAGGGACCAGAGAGAGACCAGGTGAGGGACCAGAGAGGCCGAGAAAGACCAGAAAGAGACCAGAGAGGGACCAGAGAGAGACCAGAGAGAGACCAGAGAGAGAACAGAGAGTGAGACCAAAGAGAGACCAGAGAGAGACCCCGGAATGACCAGAGAGAGACCAGAGCGAGAGACCAGTAGACCATAGAACACAGTGGTACCTTTCTCTCCAAAGATCCACCTCTTGTGCATGCTGGTGGTGAAGAACACAGGGGTCTGAGTGACACACATCAGGAGGTCTGTGACGGCCAGGTTTATGATGAAGGTGTTGGCAGGAGTACGCAGGCTACGGCTCCTACACACATGTACACACAATCTGTCATCATTAAAGGGCCCTAATCTGTCATCATTAAAGGGCCCTAATCTGTCATCATTAAAGGGCCCTAATCTGTCATCATCAAAGGGCCCTAATCTGTCCTCATTAAAGGGCCCTAATCTGTCATCATTAAAGGGCCCTAATCTGTCATCATTAAAGGGCCCTAATCTGTCATCATTAAAGGGCCCGAATCTGTCATCATTAAAGGGCCCTAATCTGCTTCATTAAAGGGCCCTAATCTGTCATCATTAAAGGGCCCTAATCTGTCATCATTAAAGGGCCTTAATCTGTCATCATTAAAGGGCCCTAATCTGACATCATTAAAGGGCCCTAATCTGTCCTCATTAAAGGACCCTAATCTGTCATCATTAAAGGGCCCTAATCTGTCATCATTAAAGGGCCCTAATCTGTCATCATTAAAGGGCCCTAATCTGTCATAATAATAAACTGCTCTTTTCCAATACTTCTTTAACTGATAACAGTAGTTCAGAGATATCTAAATTTCTAAATTACTTTTCCAGCCTCTAAATCTTGTTATTGTTTTCATTTCGATGTCCCGCCCTCCACCGTTTCACCAATCAGAAAGTCTGTGATCCAGGCGCCAGAACTCACCGCGTGGAGCTAATCTCACTCAAGTACCATGTGGCGCAGAACTAAAAAAGGTCTCGTTATGATTCTCAAATCATTAACGACAAAACAAGGAATAAAACCAGGATTTCTATCTTTGTGAAAAAGGTGTTGGTTATAGATTTGTTGTTGACAAAACTCCTGTCTATTCAGCTGTTATGGTCCCAGCTGGATTCGTCTGCATATCTGGCAACCTGAGTCAGGGAGAGTGGGAGAGGCTGCAGTACTTACTTAAAGGTCCTATATCACGCTTTTCTTCATGTTTCACACTCAGTCCTCTGCACATGTGTGATATTAATGTGTATGATACACCACACAACAATCAAAGCTTGTGAGATTAGAGCCATCTCTTGTATAGAGGTGACGTCACCTCGACTCAAACGAGCTGATCCAGAGTCTGCTCCTCTGCCTGTGAGCCCCCCGCCCGCACGGTGACGTAGCATCACGCTTTTGTCGTTTATCACCTGTACTTAGTAGTTTCATACATAAGAATAAGCTTTTTCCAACAATGACAATCCGTCACATCGAGCCCTATGTCCTCGATGCACAATCAGAGCCTAGTTATTTAGTTTACAGAAGTATACAGCGAGTTAGCGTCACTACTTACAGATGGAGGGGGTCCGAGTTACGTCTTTTACCGTGGGAATAACGTGTTTCCAGATCAGCCTTTGAGTAAGTCCAGTTCCATTGTCCCTGTAGTTCTGGAACAGTCTCAGTGAAGTGTCGCAGATGAACCGGTTTATAATAGATCCATGAGATGAACAGATGAAAAAAGTCGAGCCGCTTTCTTCCTCTTAGGGCCAAATAGTGCGTCACATATTTACACCCATAACACACTTCATTCAAGTTGACGTGATCCTAACACTTTTAGTTTCTGACAAAAGCATAAAAACAGCAGCTCTATGTGGAGTCCGCGAGACCAGACCACAGACGCTGGACTCGGGAGCCTGTGCGCTCTGATTCGCTGTTTTGATCCGTCAATCACCTCCCGCCGGCTTTTAATTTATTTTTATTTTTAATATTTTTGACAAAAAACAGCATACTAATTGTGTATTGTTTACAGCGTTTTGACAAAAGTATTTAACAACTATTTTAAATACAAAGCAAACGGGGTCATGCGCGTCATCAGTGTGGTTTTCGTCACTGAAGTGGACCCGAGCGTTTCTGTGCCTCACGCTGGGGAAGGACACAGATTGCTCTCTTACAAAAGATTGACAGAATCAATGAATAAACTACTGTGGGCTTGTGTATGAGGCCAAATAGCTGTAATCATGTTTAAAGCAGAGAAAAGTCAAAAACCGTGATATAGGCCCTTTAAGAAGTTGTTTTTTAATTGCATATTTAATTTTGTCCTGTAGTTTTTACAGCGTTAAAGGACATTTATGACGTTTGTAAGATCAATATACGCCTGAACTGAAGAAACCATGAGCGGTCTCTCTCTAACTTTCTCTAACTTTAGCATAATAAAGAAGCTGAAAGTGGCAGTGACACATGGTTCTATATTGCACTTTATGATCAGAATGTACAGTACAGAACCATGTGTCTCGGTCCTGGTCGTCACCTGCTGAAGGCGTAGATGACCAGCAGGTTTCCCACCATGCCCGTGATGCCGATGGCCAGGATGATGGAGCCGATGGTGTAGTGGGCGTGGTCAGGGACGTCCACCGTGGGGAAGGGACCATCAGGCACCATGGACACCTGGAGGACACACACATGGTCTGGGTCAGAACACATGGTCTGGGTCAGCACACATGGGTCAGCACACATGGTCTGGGTCAGCACACATGGTCTTGGTCAGCACACATGGTCTGGGTCAACACACATGGTCTGGGTCAGAACACATGGTCTGGGTCAGCACACATGGTCTGGGTCAGCACACATGGTCTTGGTCAGCACACATGGTCTGGGTCAACACA